TGAAACAAAGGCTTTGCATCCTTTGCATAATTTCTGTCGTTAGCTTATTGTTTGATCAGATAGCTACTTATTGTGAACAATGTAACTTCTGCTAGCAGAAGTTACATTGTTCACAATAAGTAGCTATCTGATCAAACAATAAGCTAACGACAGAAATTATGCAAAGGATGCAAAGCCTTTGTTTCAGTCAGTATACAGTATAGGGCTGCAGGATTTGGGGAAATAATCTAATTGCGATTTTTCTGACAGATATTGCGATTCGATTTGCGATATTGGTTTTTAAGCGACCGATTGGAAGTTTATTGAGATTCATCAGAAGTTTATTGTAAAATGCGGCCATATCTCCGGCTAGGAAGGTCGTATCAACGTGCTCCCGTCTCTAGCACCCCCGCACCCTGAGCTACGAGTGAAAGAACTAAACTTACATGAAACTTCCGTTGGGTTGCTTTAAAGTCAAGCTTCAGTTTAAGATTCACCCTGTAATAGATGTAAAACATGTGATGGAGCATTACTAACCTGACTCAGATGCTTTGTTTCACCAAACCATCTAGGAAAGCTCCATTGGAAGCCATTTGGAAAAGTATTTAAAAAATACTTGGCAGGTGATTGGATCAATCTGTCTATCACCTTCTATCATGGGCCACTTCTGATTGGTTAACAATGGCTGGTACATGTGGAGCACAGCACTTCTGATTGGTGTGGATGTCTGACACACAAGAAAAAAACAGCAGGCTTTGCGATTTGATAATTGCATCATTTCAAATCGCGATTTCGATTTGAAATCTATTAATCATCAGCCCTAGTACCATATAAGTATTAAAGTTTTAATTCCACATCCATCCAACTAGAGAGAGGCAGGCGAGAGGGAACATAAGGAAAACTGGCTTTTTAATAGATGAACAAACAGAAAAGGAAAGAAAAGCCAATGGAGAAAGACAGAAAGGTAGATTGGACACTTTGTCTGTGATGATGCGGGGAAAGAACAGACACAATCGTATTGCTCATCTCAGTGTTGTATTCAGTAAGGGGCACTTACATAGTCAATAAATATGGATCGCACATATAAGAGAACTTTCCTTCCTTATTTGCTTACATGACGCTCACTGTGCCGACAAAAACCCTGACTACTGCATTGAAAATCTGTCCGACATACCAAACTCATCTCTTCTTTAAAGATTGCAACTATTTGTCACCAAAGAAGTTAAAGTGGCTCCTCAGACAACAAAAGAGTGAAATTAAATAAAGTAAAAAACACAGATGACTATCAATTCACAGTGTGGGTGATGTGAAAAAGTAAACAGAGAAAAAAAGGTGGTGCTGAGGAGGAAAGAGCGGAAAATAGGTAGAGGCTCTTTGTGGGAAGTAAGAAATTGTGGCGAAAAGCATTCAATAAACACGTCTCTATAGTAACCAAGATGTAATTTGCTTGGTGAGAAAAGGAGAAAGATGGAGATTGAGGGGGAGTGATGGAGAGAGGGGAATAGAAAAGCATTTACCATCACTGCTTGAGTCCAGAGCTGTAATTACGGAACTGAGACGCAACGAGAGAAGGGGAGGAAAAGAGCAAGGTACACACAAGAAAAGAGATGCACACAATGTACTTTCACCAAAAGGAGAAGGTGAGAATGAAAATACACACAAAGTGATGACCCCATAAAATTGGCACTGTTGCAAATAAATGTAGTAGGCGTTGCAGAGAAAAAGCAGGGGGGGGGGGGGAGCACACAATGACATAAAAAGAAAAGAAAAAGTTATGAAAAGGCTTTTTGTGTAAGGGAGTGTGTGTGGGAAGTGAGGTTAAAAAAAACATAATCAAAACATGGCTGAATGATCATTAAGCCAAATAAAAATAAATCAACAGCTCTCTGATTAAGTGGAGACAAGAATGAAGTTAAGTCGCTGGGACAACACAAATAAAATCATGGATGGGAAGAGAAGAAGTCGAACTACAAGTGAGGACGGAGAATAGTGACAGACGAACCAAGATATCTTATGGCAAGCCGTAGTTCTCGAAAGATGAGTGATAGACAGGCCACGATGTGTATGAAACATTCAAACATATGGCCGATCAAAAATAGTAGGCGACCAAAAATAGCGGGATTACAGAGGAGACGGAGAATGGGGCCAGTGCCGCTCTGTGTGTGAAAGAAAGAGAGACAGAGTGATATAGGGAGAGGAGTGTGTTCATGCTGTGTAAGTGTTTCAGGAAAGGCAAGTGTGTTTGTATAGGGTAGTTGATTACAGCTCTGCTGAGTGGCTTGGTGTTGGCCTGTATATGTGGAGATAACAGGATTAAGGGGCTACTGACACTACTGTACAAGAGAGAGGGAGACATGTGAAGTGTGAAGAGAAGGAACAGCAGGAGAAGGAAGAAACATGAAGAGAGATTTCAGAAAATTCCTTTGACATATGACATTTATTAATAATACTTTTATGGAAAATCATTCACATAAATGGGTGACAAACTTGAATAAATGAGCCACTTAATACACATGTCCTTACAAGGCACTTAATTGAATGAGTCAGTGAAGTAAAACAATGATATGAATCATACGTTATGGCCCTTAGAGTTGAACATGAATGGGGAATTTTTGGAGAGATATGTGAAACCGTTTTCTCTATCCTCATAACATCAGGAATTATTATTTGGAAGAATCTTCAAGTGATTGAAGCCCTTCTGGAGGCTTCTCTGATCCCAACACCTCACTAAGATACTTTTATCTGTTTTGTATTTTCTTTAGTGTGACTTATGCATTTAATTTGGAAAAAAGCTGACTACTTCTTAAGCCTCTTACCTCAGATTCGATTTAAGAAGGAGCCCAGGAAATATATACATTAACTATTGAAAATGACAAACTAGTTCACGCCTGGAGCAATGACAGTGATATGTATTTACAGAGAACTGCAGAAAATCAATGCAGACTTTTGTATTGGACTTTAAGTTGTCATATTCATGAATCTTCTTTAGCCGAGTCCGAGTTGGTTTTAAAAGGCCCTGAAAACCTCTTTTCTCATTTAGCTTATTGATGTATGTCATCTTGGACACACACACTTTACACGCCAAATAACAGTTTTTGGTAGGCTATTCTTGCTTCTCTGAATGGTAAACTCATGACACCTTAACATGTTTTCTTCCATACATAATACACTTCCACTGAATCTTAAATGAATGGGAGGGTATACAGTAGGACACACACTATGGGATAACAGAACATTTTTGCTGGGATACACTGTGCCAGGAGATGTGGGGAAAAACATTTTGACCAGTAATGAGAAGATCAATGAGAGGGAAGATTAGGACGAATGATGGATAGAGATTGAAGAAAGATTTTTTGGAAAGAGTGCTCAAAATGATGAATAGCAGACACAGGATGTGCAGGGTGTGAAACAAATATTCTAGGAGGAGAGGAGGAAGGGAAAGGTTTGAGGACGAATAGAAGTTTAAAGTGCTGATATTTATTTTTCTGCCTGTTTAGTTAAAACGGCTATTAGTATGTGCGAAATTTACCAGCTTTGCAATCAAAGCGGCTCTTAATTTAGTGCCTCATACTGTAGATTTCAATTGGGGCTCCCATGAGGTAAATGAGGCCACTTTTCTCTCCAATGTAATCTGAGTCAAGGGGGGGGGAAACTGGTCAATTTATAGTCTGAGACACAAGAGTTAGCTGCAGGGGCGCATACTTAAACTGTTCTGATTCTGACGTCAATTCCAAATTGAAAGTCAGAAAGTTTTCCAAATAGAAAGACGGAAAATTAAACAAATTTTCACAAAGCATTATTAACCTCTGGCACTCTTACAAAATGGGTTTTGTCTGGTCCAATAGATCAATCAAAACGAGAGAGAGAGAGAGACCCCAGCAGAGAGAGTTTCTCCTCTGTGGTCCGCTTTACTGAGCGCTATCACTAGGGACAAATTAGCCACACAGGAGCACTGAGGCATCATGGGAAATTAATGATCAGGACCTCCAGGAAGTGAGCTAATGAGTCCTAGTGCCACACGCACTTGTACATATGAGCCAGACACACACATACACAAGATAAAAGATGGAGAAAGCAAGAGAAGGAGGGGGAAACTGCAGAAAGGAAATAGCCAAATGTGCAATTGCAGCAGCAAATAACACAAAGCTATCAATGTATCTTTGACTGGGTGAGTGATAGGGCTAGAACAATAGTAATCACAGACACACACACAGACACACACAGACACACACGTACTTAAGAGAATCAGATAATTAGAGGGGGCCACCAGTGGCTTTTGCCCATGGAGGCGTAGTGATTACTGTCACTACACCCTCCCCTGGGGCGTCTGACAACAACCAGTGAATTAATACTTATCCACACACACACACACACACACACACACACACACACACACACACACACACACACACACACACACACACACAGGCACACACACACACACACACACACACACACACACACACACACACACACACACACACACACACACACACACAGCTAACCCAAATGAGGGGTGGTGTGGCGCCCCACTATTTGATTATGTTATGTGTTGGGTACCTGAACGCATCATTTTACGTTGCCCTACCATGAGCTATAGCTACAGTGACTAGGCTAAAGGTGGAAGGAGATTTGTTATGAGGTAGGAAGTTTGCTAGTTGAATTCTATGAAAAGGCACATCTCTACTGGAGTAGCCTACCTATAGGTAAACACCCTGCATCAGCTGCCCTAGGACTGTGTGTGTTGGAGCATAATGAAAGCCGTTTAAATAATAAATAAATTGAGCATCAAGCTCCAGATGAGTCATGTCAGGGGGGAGAAAATAGGGGGAGGGGGGGTCCAAGGTTTCCCTGACAAACTGGAACAGTGACAGCCTGTCTCCCCACACCAGTCGGCGCACCTCTCCAGGATTTAACCTCGCACTACAGTATCACACATCACCACACCCTTGCCCGGTGATTGGCCCAAAGTTTCCCGGGTCCCGCCCTCAGCTCAGCGGACCCTCCCTTCGTCGCTCTCAGCCTGTTGCTGCCAAACCAGCTGGCATTTTCAATTGATATCCTGAGCCAGGACTTTGTACCCGAAATCCTGACCTTTAAACCCAGGTTTATTGTCTTTAATTAATTTCCAAGACGGAGCTCAATAGTTCATTTACGGTCATGCGGACCACGGAGAAACTCTCAGGAAATGCTCCCTGTTGAAACCCTCACCTCCCACTCTGCAGCCTGTGATTTAACCTACTATTTTTTAGAAGGACTTTAATCACTTTATCCTACCTTCATGCATCATACGAGACTGCAGCAGCACATGACGTAGAAGTTTGTTCACGAGTTGGTGAATCTGCTGGGGGGAAAACTGCTCAGCCAGCTCCTCTTTCGGGGTCTCCTCACCTGATCCGCACGCCACTCCCAGCCGCCGGTGTGCAGCTCTTTCCGGGGGCCCGAGGCGGCCAGGATGGGGACACCGGGGGATCTGCCTGCTTGGAAAGTGACGATTTTCCTCTTTAATTTAATCTCAGCTGTTGTGGCCAAGAGACACATCGTTTATTGGAATTCAACAAACACAAGGTGAGAAAACACTGTGTGCTTAATGGTGCTCCTCTCCAGAAATATGTAAATGTATTTATGAAAGTGGGCCAAATTATGGTTTATGTCGGTGTAAAGTCTCATTTCAACTTTGCACTGAGCATTACTGGCCTAAACTTGCTCTGACACACTCTTGCGCAACTACCACAATAATTCCTACTAAATGAGTCAGACCTCTGTTGTTTTAAGGAATTTTTGCTATGCTGCATCACGTCCCAGAACCTAAACACATCACTAACTCAAAAGCCATCAGACTGGTATTTTTGTCAAAGAAGAAACCTGAGTGGCCTGATCTCACCTTCGTCCTGCAGCTATCTTTATAATAATGACTACACTTTGACCCATTGCTTTCACATGTCAACAGCCTTTTAGTCAGTTATTATTCTACTTATAGATATGCCAGATGTAAGCGTTTCTTCATAAGTGTTTGCTCTAAATAGTGTCCTAGATAGCATTCTAAGAACACAGGTGTATTAAAGTCTAAAGTGTTGCTGAGCATAAGCGAATATCTAGTTAGATAATGGGAAGGTGTGTGTTTATGAGTAAAGAGTTGATTTGGGGCCATTAGCAAGCCAGAGCGAGGCTCACCTGCTGATCCAGGTGTTCCAGTCTGTCTAATTGAGGGGTTGAGGTGAGAGACCTGCAGGGCCAGTAGGACTACTTCCCAAAATAACACACTCCCTCACCTTCTTATTTAAAGACTCTCACTCTCCGTGCGGCCTTACTCCCCAAGCACTCTTTCAGATAAATGACCTTTTTAGCTAATAGCAACTGGCCACAGAGACCACTTTGTTTTGTCTGGTCCTGTCTTGTATTTAACATTTTGTGGATGCAAAAATGTACAGAGATATGACTCTCGGGACGGATCATTTCCCCAAATGCTCCTTTGTCAGATCTACAGGCCTCATCCTGTGCTGGAGTCAGCTGAGGTTGTATCTAGTGTGTCCAGGCGGGTAAAACCCAGTCATGTAATTGGGATCCAACCGAAATGTGCCGGGGAGGAAGACTGTGAGGATTAGGAAGCACCTTCTTGTTCCCCGGGGATTCAGGGATGAATGGTCACAGTCTGTGGCAGGGCCACACAGTTGGCTACAACACCACACAATCACAATGCCATCAGCATCACGGCGGCGGGTAACCCACTGTGGCAGAGAATCGCTCTCATCAGCAACACCACCCAATCACAAAGCTATCAGCAGAGCCGTGATGTTGCTCCCGGTCCAAAATCCCCTGGGTTTACTGTTTCATGCCTCTCCTTTCCTTTCCTTTCCTTTCCTCTCCTCTCCTGTCCTCTCCTTTCCTTTCCTCTCCTCACCTCTCCTCTCCTTTCCTCTCCTCTCGTTCTCCTCCCTTTCCTCTCCTCTCCTGTCCTCTCCTTTCCTTTCCTTTCCTCTCCTCACCTCTCCTCTCCTCTCGTTCTCCTCCCTTTCCTCTCCTCTCCTCTCCTTTCCTCTCCTTCTCCTCTCCTCACATCTCCTCTCTTCCCTTTCCTCTCCTCTCCTCTCCTCCCTTTCCTCTCCTTTCCTCTCCTTCTCCTCTCCTTCTCCTCTCCTCACCTCTCCTCTCTTCCCTTTCCTCTCCTCACTCTTCATTACCTCCCTTGTTACATCCCGCTCTCCTTTTCATTTTGTCTCTGCACCCCCCCCCCCTCCTCGTCCTCCCGCCTCTTTATCTCTCACGGCTCCCTCCTGCCCAGTGATGGATATTGGCGGCGTGATCAGTTGAGCTTCAGTCATTTTCCCATTCCATATTTTCTATTAGCTGCCAGCCAGCTAGCCAGTATGTCCTGAGACCTGTAAATGTAGCTTGGCGTGTGAAAAGGAGCGCAGGGACAGGAGAGCGATGCTTCAGTTGGCATGAAGACACACTGCAGGATCAACTCATGCTTATGGTACACTGATCACTTCAGATCACACAATAAGATTTGTCCAAAGCTCAAAGATATTCACCTTTTTAATAAGGGAGACAAATCTGAAAATCTCCATATTTGAGAGGCTGAAAACTGTTTCTTCTGTAATTTTTGCATAAAAAATCCACTAGCTGTCCATTATTTGCAATTATTTCTCTGTCAATAAAATAATGGATTAGTCAAATAATTTTTGGAGCTTTATCCACAATGTTGTCAAAGTTTAAATTAAAATATGTATGTACCATCTTACGCTCATGGTTTTCATTCAGTTTCATTGGGTTTCATCACTTTAGTTGATTGTGTCTTTGCTCTGAAAAAGTGAATGTATGTCGTAGCACACCAAAAAAAGATATTTCCTTCATAAAGTTAATAAAGAACAAATCAGAGCAAAATGTGGTCCTAAAGAAATTTGAAATGCTAGTGTTGGACGGTGTTTGTGCTTAGCTTGTAAAAAAAAAGCCACTCTTTACTAACCGTTTGCAAACATAATAACTTTACAAGGTAATATGTCAAAGATATGTTCCCAAAAATCAATGAATGTAGTATGAAAGAGCACACTTCTATATTTTTGTAAACGTATGAGCAGAATAGGGGAAGCAAGCTGCCGTTACAGACATTACATTTAAGGCTCGGCTCGTATACCATCACTGTAGCTGGTGAGAAAACAAGCCCCTCTTTATTACGGATGACAGAAGACATTCTCTGGCCATCACCTTTCATTTGACATCTAGATTTATGGTTTTAATGAAGCAGGGGCAGTGAAGTGGAGACTGAAGGGCCGTGTTGCTCTGCTCTTCGCTTTCTAATATGGCTGTAACAAAGGCTCGCTGAAGCTCTTTAACTGGCACACATTTAGCACCCTGCAGATTGAAAAATGGAGCTCTGAAATGAAAGTGATAGACTGATGGGAGGGTCAGCGCTGAACATCGTGGAATCAAGACACCCTTGCCTCTTTCCATTGTGGGACTCGAGTGGTTCGACTGCCCTTTTATGATTTTATGAACCGCCGTTTACGATCGTTCCTTGTTTTATAACAGCGTTTCTCTCAGAGCGATAGTTCCTTATAAGAAGAGAAATTATTTTTTTACTTCCTGGAGCAGTTAAAGGTTAGTAACATATTATAACTGCTGTGCTCTTAGCTTGAGTGTGTGCTGACAGTATACCTCGGCTCTCCCATGAGTAGCAGGCTCAGACTAGTTTATTGGTATATTCAGCCCCCTCCTCTGTTCCATGGTGTGCTTTAAAACGTAGGCCAAATAAGTTGACCAGCCTCTTTGCTGACACTGGCTGCTTCGTGTGCTGCATTCATCCTCATAAATTCACTCAGGATCTGTCAGAAAGTTTACTAGCATCAAAACTTTAGGAATTGAATTGCCTTTTTTTCCCACACAAGAGATATGGCTTTTAGGATACTTTTGCCACTCGTTTATGGGCTGCTCATACATCTGTAATAAGAATAAATGTCACCCAAACTCGAGCCTTAAATCAGCTACTCCATTTCCCCCGTCCTCTTGACTTATCCTTGGTCTTGGCACACACCTCTACTATTGCTTTCTCCTTTTACCTGACATGGCAGGAGGCGAACTAGTTGCAACAGTTCTTTTCGGATCACAGCTCTAACTCTTGTTTCCAGTCACCTCTTGTCTTTCCTTTGCAGAGCCTAGGATTAGCAAGGTGTCAATTAGAGATAAGCGTTTCACAAAAGGGGATACCACACAACAGAAAAATTATTCAAACCAATTTCTCTTACCTCTATATTTATGTATTTCTCACTCTGGAACTCACTCTGCAAGTCTGGACACAGAATGTAATGCCAGAGCCCTCTGAAATCTCTCTTACCTCCTCATCTGAGTCTCTCTCCCCTTTCTGGCAAAAGCTCAGGGCGAGCTCCAAGCCAGTGAAGCGTGTTTAAACAACGCGTGAGGAGATGAATATTTGTATTGGTTTTCTGTATCTTTATTGAAAGCAGCCCTCATAAGTCGTCTGTGTAATCTCTGCTCTGTTTATGCATCATTTCCCTTTGTGTGCACTCATGAATGATCTACTTTAAATACCAAAGTAAATCACATTCTGCTCTGCATACCTTTGTCTCACACACACACACACACACACACACACACACACACACACACACACACACACACACACACACACACACACACACACACACACAGTCACAGACTCATACACACACTTGCCATGTACAGTAAAGTGAAAGCATACAGTGTTTGTCTTGTCAGAGGAGATGATTGCACTTCTAGACTGATTTCTTTCTTTATATTTTTTTTATTATTTCTTCACCGTCAATGGGTCTATGTCTATCTCTATTCCTTCTGTGTCTGTGCAAATGAATGTATTTATCGTACTTCCTGCTATCTCTCCTCACTGTGTCTGTCTCTCTGCTAATCTCCGTCTTCCCCTGGTAAATGATTAACATGGAGAACCTGGCTGAACTATAATCAACAAACCCACAGTGAGGTAATTACCACCTTATTCCCTGTCCTGCTAACAAAGCAATCTCCCCCCCCCCCCC